TTGTGATGCTGCTAGCTGCTCACGCCCATGTTGCAATCTTCTGCTGCCGCTGGAAAACTGCAGCAAGAGCTCCATGCGCACAAAAACCGTCCAATGTTGAGGACCTGAACCCCAAAGGAGCAGGAGCAAACGGCCAAAACCCGCAAAAGCCCGGTCAAACCCCGGACCCCGACCCCAAGCAATGGCGATCTCCTTGGCGGCACTCCGCTGCGCTTGGCCTCGCTCGAGGTCGTGCGTACCTGCGGCCACCAAAGCCGTACGGATCGCTAATCATTGTGAGTGTACACAGGCCGGGGGCACTCACCCTGAAATGCTCAGCTAAAAGAAGCACATGGCAGAGGCGGCCCACGGCGAGCCAAAATATTATATCAGTGGCTTCGGCGTTAGAATGTATCTGGCCCCTGAATTCCCGGCCGATATAGACACGTGACTTCCAGAGACCATGTAGAATGTTGAGGTTTGTGCGGGCTGGATAGGTTGCCCTCTCGCAGGGGATGGTGTCGCTTGGCGACCTCGTTTGATCAAAAACAAGCTTCAGCCATGTAAACACGCTTCGCCTCTGTCCTGTAAGCACAACGGACCTGTTTCTTTAGCGAATGCCGAGGGGTTGGAGCATGCTCACACACTCAACTTGCACTACGGGCAACCTGAACTACGTTGTTGGACTTCCAAAAGTTGAAGCACCGGGCGAGCAGCACCCGATCCTCCAAAACTGACAGACGCTCCATGATTGAGTCCAAAAGCCAATTAGTGCGCAAGGAGATCCTGTTGATTTGAAGCTGCATGCTGTGCGCATGCCTACCCACCACACTCAGTGTGTCGGTACTCCAGGAATGATCACTGACCACCTCACCAGTCAGCTCTGGGACCGCCGCGGATTGTTCGCCCATCTTGAGGCCTAGAGTAGAATGCTCCAGGAATTAAGCCACATCTGACTTATTCTCCCACGCTCTGAGATACGCACGGGTGGGATTTAGCGAGGCAGAGTGCCTACGGCCTTCAACGCTCTTCGCAGCTGCGGCATATTGCGGGACTTCTGTACAGACTCGACAGACCTACGGCTTCAAATGATCTATATACAGCTTCGCACAACCAACAAGCCAGGCCAATCAAAGCAACTAGGCACCCGATCGACCAAACGAACAAGCACGCCAAGCCATGAGTCGCAACCAAGCATGCAAGCACAACAACCGACCAAGTGAACAAGCACAGCAAGCCTTCAAGCAATCAACCAACCGACCGACCGACTGAAAACAAGCAGTTAATTAGCTGTACACTCGTGCACGCGCAAAACGTACACGCTGCAACACTCAACCGACCCAAGCCAAGCACTCGCAACACAAGGCTTCGGAGGCTCTCGGTGCTAAGGCTCTCGGTGCTAGGGCTCTCGGTGCTTAAGGCTCTCGGTGCTAAGGCTCTCGGTGCTCAAGGCTCTCGGTGCCAAGGCTCTCGGTGCCAAGGCTCTCGGTGCTAAGGCTTTCGGTGCTAAGGCTCTCGGTGCTAAGGCTCTCGGTGCTTGGGAGGCTCTCGGTGCTAGGGCTCTCGGTGCTTAAGGCTCTCGGTGCCAAGGCTCTCGGTGCTAGGGCTTTCGGTGCTAAGGCTTTCGGTGCTAAAGCTCTCGGTGCTAAGGCTCTCGGTGCTTGGGAGGCTCTCGGTGCTTCCGGGCTTCAGCTTCCGCAGTCTACGATGGGGTCCCGCGGTTATTCTGGCAGGCGGCGCTCAATGCTGCCAACCCTGCCCTGGCTTTCGGAGCTCGGCTCGGCTATATATAGGGCTTCTCGATCAGTTACTCCCAGCGTATATTGTCCCAGCGGTTAATCCCAGCAGTTATTTCTCCCAGCGGTTAATCCCAGCGGTTAATCCCAGCGGTTAATTGAATCCCAGCGGTTATTTCTCCCAGCGGTTAATCCCAGCGGTTAATTGCCCCAGCGGTTAATCCCAGCGGTTAATTCAAAATCCCAGCGGTTAATTCCACATCCCAGCGGTTATTTGATATCCCAGCGGTTAATTTAGCATCCCAGCGGTTAGTACCACGTCCCAGCGGTTAATTAACCGACGTAACGCGTTGCAAAATGTCCCATCGGTTATTAACCGACGTAGGGCTGTCCAGGTGAGGTTGGTCCTGTCGTGTGTGCTCCCTCCTCCTGGGGCGCTTTGCAGCGCGATCGGAGGCAACCGAGAGCGCACGCTTCTCACCCCCCACGGACTTCTCATCTGCAGAGGTGTGCCCTTCTTCAGCCTCTTCCGAGGGTTTCTCAGCAGGGCTGGTTACGCTTCCAGGTGCAGCCTCTTCCGAGGGTTTCTGAGCAGGGCTGGTTCTGCTTCCAGGTGCAGACTCTTCCGATGGTTCCTGAGGAGGGCTGGTTCCATTCCCAACCTGAGACTTTGAGGGTTTCTCTACCTTCACCAAAAGATTGCGTGTGGGTGTGGCAATGGCCCTTGCAGTCACAGCTTTCTTTGTGCTGTCGGAGGCATCGGCATCCGGACATTCCTTCACAGCAGGCTCGGACTTTGCACCTGGCAATCGAGGAGGGATCATCTTCTGCAGGTTGCTGATGATTTCGCAATCAGACATGGCGTCTACTTCCTTAGGTTTGCTTGCAAACTGCTGGATGTATCGATCGCTGCAGAGAGTGCTGCCAGGCATCATCACCACTCTCCACAGTGTAATCATAAGCTTCCAGCAACTGACTGTCAGTAGCCTCAGGGAATCTTGATATGCTGATTGTGAAGGTCGTGTATCAAAGTCAAAGAGGGATCGAGGACTATATGGAGAGAGAGAGAGAGAGAGAGAGAGAGAGAGAGAGAGAGAGAGAGAGAGAGAGAGAGAGAGAGAGAGAGAGAGAGAGAGAGAGAGAGAGAGAGGAGAGAGGAGAGAGAGACGAGAGAGAGGAGAGAGAGACAGAGAGAGAGGAGAGAGAGACAGAGAGAGACAGAGAGAGACAGAGAGAGAGAGAGAGAGAGAGAGAGAGAGAGAGAGAGAGAGAGAGAGAGAGAGAGAGAGAGAGAGAGCGAGAGATGCGGTCAGGTCGCTGGCAAAGTCTCCTCACTCGACTCCACGTACGGATCGAGGTACAGCTCCTGAAGGGACAGGGGTTTCATAATATTTATATATATACCTACATTGCAAACTCGATCGGCCTGGGCGGCATCGCAATCCTCATGGTTCTCGCCATTTCGAAGTGTTTGTTCCAGCTCCTGTTTGGGTTGCTGGGCTGGGGTATCAACGATCTAGATGGGGCCTAGAAGGGTTCCAGGGCTGGGGGTTGTCGAAAGTATAATTGACTTGCTCGATTGGTTTGTCGTTTCGGTTTCGGATGCATATACAGTGCATGTCTTTGGGATGTAGAACGAATCAAACGGATTCTAGAATTCTTAAATTCATGGAAAGTCAGACTGGGCGGCTGGTTGAAGTTTCGGGCTTTCGTGAACCGGACCCTGGTACACCCTATATAAGTAAATAAACCCAGTAAATAAACCCCTTAAGATCGTAATAGATATTATATATATAGTATATAGCACCGACACAGACACGCCCTGAACCCATATACAGGCTGTATTTGGCTAGGAGGAAAGCGCTGTGCTCAGGGAAATTGGGCTTGTACCATGTTTTGTAGGATTTCTTTTAAATCAAAGAGGGAGGGGAGGCGTGGGGAGAGAGAGAGAGAGAGAGAGAGAGCGAGCGAGCGAGAGGAGAGATAGGAGAGCGAGAGAGAGAGAGAGAGAGAGAGAGAGAGAGAGAGAGAGAGAGAGCGAGCACGAAGGACCCAGAGAGCAACCGTCCTTATAACCCGAAAGTGATCCCCTGCACCGATTCTCTTCCGCACTATCTCTCTCCGCCTCTCTCAAGCCATATACTGCGCATATGTGTGTTTTTTCTGACAGAACATGCAGGCCGTCCTGTATCTCTCGCATAAGAGATTCCTCCTCTGACTGCAGCTGCTCTGCTGCGGCCTCGCCTTCCACAGCCTCTGCTCCCTCCAAGAAGGTGGCACAACTCCATTGTTTGGAAACAAAGGAGTCCATAACGACTCACAAGATATCGAAACTCGGCAGGCTATGCGCTTCAGGCTAGCCGGCTGCAGCCTCAGGCATGTAGTAAAATGCAACAAAAGCTATTTCGCACAACGGCACAGGTTCAGAGCAAACTCTTTCCCAGAGCCAGCCAGCAGTTGAAAGGCGCATGTATGCATGCGCCATCAAGGCTGAATTGACAGCTGTACGGCATACGCTGATTCTGCTTTGCAGGCAGTTGAAGGGTGATAAATACCACCATAGGAAAAACCCGGTTTCCACTAGAAAAACCCATAATCTAAATATGGGTTTAGATGGGTTAATTATGGGTTGCGTACGCTTTGCGGACGGGTTGGGGAAAACCGGGGTTTCTGAGGGTTATGGGTTTATACGTGTTCCGACGGGTTAAATATGGGTTTTGTACGGGTGAAAACCGGGTTCTCGCACAAAGCCGGGTTCTTGACTGTCTCGCGCTGCCCAGAACGTACCAAAACATGTTAAAATGTGTAAAAACCATTCCAAACCTATTCACAGAACACGGAATGCTTAATCTCAGTCCTTCGGAACCGAAGCAACCTCGCACGAAAGCCCCCAGTGACCTATAGTGGCAGTCTGCAATTGCATAGAAACCAGGTTTCCGGGCAAGGCGGGATAAAAGGCTTCAAGAGCCCTGGGCCTGGCCGGGTGCTTTTCTAGGAAGCACGTCTTTCCAGGCTTGATCAGGAAATTCGAGACCCACACCGCCCCGTAAGTAAATATAGAGCTCAGCAAAGTTGGCAAAGTCGAACAAACCCTCGTGCTGGTTGTACTGCATGGATGCAAAGGTCTCCAAAGCAGCTGGGCAACCATCCTTCGGAAGAGGCGGGCACCCCTGTCCAGTCAGAGCCAAGCTGCTTGCCATCTTGACCAGTTCCCGGGCAAACCTCATCGGATACTCCCTTGGCTGCTGTTTATGAAGTGAACCAGCAAAGGTCGTTTTCATATGCTCATGCTAAGAACAAATGACCATGGATGCAATAATGAGGGCCGGGTGTCTGAGTAGGCTTCAATGCACTCGTTCCAGTCCAGCTAGCTTGGCCACTAGCACGGTGGCCCCTTTTCACGGTTTTCGGCTGCATCCCTTTATTTGCTTTGGCCCACTGCTTCAAGTCCAGTCGGCCCCGGCAGAGGCCCTGCACTTTTTCCGAGTTGCACCAGCCATAGTGTCTCTTCGGAGTCGTGGATCCATAGTGGGCCATCCACCAGGAAACCCGGAAGACCTCAGCAGGGAGTGGCGTTCTGAATTGTTGTATATCGAGTTATATACCATGCCACACTCTTTGCGGATCGATCGTACTAAGTCTTAGACGGAACAGGGGCCACTCACATCCCAATGCGCACGAAGCATGTCCCGGAAGCACGGGTAGAACTCCAGGCTGGAACCACCAGGCTGTTCAACAAACCACACCCCGCCCACAACCGTGACCAAGTACATGAGGAGGGTGCTCCTGCAAAGCCGGCTGTATATGATATTAGAAGCACATATCCGATATCAGTATGGACAACAGAATGCATTGACTCATTATAACCTCTTGCAGTATAGCCAAACTCCTACAGGCACACGGACCAGCAAAGTATGTAAAGGGAAAATGTAGACGATGTGAAATGCAACGAAAACCTCAAAACCCAATCCTCTCCAGCAACTTGTTGCCCTCTTTGACAGAGGGATGACTGACATTGCCAACAGGTGTGGCAGGGCTTCGCATTGAGGTCCCTCTGTTGAGTGTGCAGAAGGTAGAGCACTGAATTGCAAACGTTGCAAAGAGCTTCCCAGCCATGCCCCGCAAGACGAAGTAAATGGCGAGACTTAGTTTCGGCAAACTTGCTCAGCAATGCACAAGAATGAAAGACCGATTGTATACTTATATACCCCAACAACCAGGGCACCACGAAACGAAACTGAAACCAATCTGACAGGGGGCGCAAAACCTGCAGGTGTGCACAAATCCATGTAGTTCGTTTTGTGCTCACATCCTGGCCGCCTCACCTTACCACCTTTATGAAACCTGGAATTGTAGAGTATGTCGAAGCGTCCGGACTTCCGCCTGGATTTCCGCATGGCATACGTCAGGTTCGCGCGGCCCGCGAAGAATTCCAAGAACTCGAAATCCTGCTCAGGCTGGAGGCTTGTAGGACTTACAGGGTACATTGTGGCTACTAGAGAGGACACCATACAGAGGCCGTGGCTAGGTGGGAAAAACTGCGTAAGCTGAACCCATATAAAAGAAACACAGTAAAATGCATGCAGACTGTATAGAAGTCTTGCACACGATGCTCAGAATGATGGTTTGCAGGGCCTATATAGTTCGATCATTTTAACAAATTGCACACATAATTGAGTTAGCTAAGTTTCTATTGACGGGATCCCGTGGGCCTATCTTACTTGTTCTGACACAATATGTTGTCGCCGGGCTTGTTGTTTGGCTTGAACTGAAAGACGCATCATTAAGATCTTTTTAGGGTTAATTCGGCTTTGGGCCTTTCGTGAGGCTGAGAGGTTCAAGTCTTGGTTTTGTATAATAGATCGAGGGCTTTTGTGAAGATATATGTTTTCATGCAATGGTTTGGATTGGCTAGGGTTTCTATAGGGGTTTGGATTGGCTAGGGTTTCTAGGGAACTTCTAAACTAATTATGCAGATATGCATAGGAGAAAAAACGCAATCTAGAAAGGCCTGAACACTTCTATCTCCCCTGTTTGCACAGGATCTTTGATTCCCGACACCCAAAGAACTCTGCTTCCCCTAGTTGGCAAGACCCTATATAACTCTGCCCCTGAAGCCTTTGAGTTTTGTACCCAGCATGCACCAATACAATCTTGCTCTGTTATAAAGCTAGATCGAAGGTCGAAGGTTATAGTGATTATAGCACTTGCTGACTGACCTCGGCAAAGGGTTGGCGGTTGGATTAGCCCAAGATTCGGGGTGCATCTAAAGCGAGCTAGATGAAATGTGTATATTGCTATATGTGTAGAGACCTTATGTCATAATAGAGGCTTGCAGAACTTCGTAACTGTGTTGCATGTACTTGTTGTTGGTTTGCTGGTATTATGTATGTATTTGTAATGGACGTACCTGCTTTAAATGATGCGGTGCAAATGAAAGCATATACAACTATATGCAGTATAGTTAATATGTATATGTACTTAAAACACAAACGTATATATATATATATATATATATATACATACATACATATACACCGAAAAGAAGTATATTTATGCATATGTTGATATATATATATATATATCTGCAATGATCTATTCCGTTTATTTTACCGATTCTTCGTTATATGTATTTGCATATACCATGTATACTATATGCACACACACGCAGTACACTGTGTGTCTTTCAGCATGTTGAGCAGTGCGTGGGCTCGGCTTAGGGCACTTACGGTGTTTTCAGGGTTTTAAGGGCTTTGTTAAGGGCTTTAGGAATTCTATAGAGGGCTTAAGGGGCTTTTATGGGGTTTGGGAAGCGATTGCACTATAATGATAGTGGGGTTAAGGGCTTGTCTATAGTGGTGGCTCAATAGTTAAGGCCTTCAGTGCCTGATCTCCGAATGAGGTATGTAGACCCGTGAACCATTATTTTTTAGCAAATCCTAAAGCACAGCCAAGCTATCCTGGTCCAGGTTTCGAACAGAAAAGATGACGAGGACGAGGCAGGCCACAAACTCCTGAACACAGCGATCATACCATGGTTACCGCATGATGCGATGTATCCAGAGCCCCAATGCTGCACCGATATCCAACACCCCGGGGATCCTTCGGAACATTCATGGCAGAGAGGCGCCACAGGAGTTCATCCAGACGAGAGGGGTCCATCTGTGCTCGAAACCCAGATCGGGTCTGATGCTGAAGCTCAAAATTGCTCCAGGCAGGAAACATACGATAAAGCAAGGCCCAAATCAATATTCCAAGCACAATCCCTGGCTGTCAACAGAGTAGCCTGGCCCGGATAAGCGTGGCAGGTGTCACTAGTTCGCAATGACGTCTGCAGCCGCAGCTTCCAGCTGGAGCCACGTGGAATGATCCGGCCTCGGCAAGCGATCTGGATTTGTGGGTTTGTTTGGAATTATGTTCGGGATCTCTTAGAAGGTTTCACTTCTAATAAAGACGGATATAGATTGGGTGCATTTCGGGATAAAAGCATGATTGCGAAGCCCGAGCCTTTGTTTGCAGCACTGGTCTGTGGCTCTACAAAGCTTCGAATGAATGTTGTGTAAAAAAGCACGGGGACCTATCTACTTACTCGGGGTGTGGGGCTTTGGAAACATGCCTAGCTGCCACTGATACTCCGACAGAATCAGATCGAGCTTTCAGCTGCTGATTTTTCACTGCGCTTCAGCAGACTAAGCCCCGCATCGAGCCCGAAACCACTAAGATGCAGAACTATGCCGGCGTCATCGTTCTTCGTGCTGGCAGCTGCATGGACTGGCTATGCAGTTTCAGGACTGTTACGAGAAAGAAGGTCATGGTATGTACATTGTAGCATGCATACATATAACTCATGCCAAACACCGGCCTTGCATCAGTGGGGATCGGGTTGTAACACAGCATCGAGAGATGAGAGCTCCAGGCCCAGCAGATTGAAATCATGATACATTGATTTGTGGCAGTTGCCACATGCACAAAAGTCGCGAGCCGACCTTCCCTTATACAACAGAAACACAATAAGCTTGCAGATACACTTGTAGTAACAACAGAGTGACGTCAAGGAAGAGTGCCTATCATCTTTGCATGGAACGACATGGGAAAGGCTTCATCGCTGAATCCGTACTAGGTAAAAGCTGAAGTAATGCTGCCTTTGGCAGCCATGCATCCCAGCTATGCAAGAAGAAAAGATAGCTCCCACACCAGGCATGGCCACCACTGGCAGGATCCACAGCCTCACTTGGGCAGTCGATCAGTCCTCTGCTTCTGCGTCCTCCTCCAAGAGGACCTGCATGGCCTCTCGTCCGTGCTGCACGACCTGGTCGTAGTGCAAAGCCACCTGCTCATCGTCCAAGAGAACGGCCATGCCTTTCTCCTCGAACCCCGGCCAGGATTCCACAGGTTTGTCCGCGAGGAGCATGTCAAGGAACTCTGCCTAAATCGGGTGTCGGAAGCACCATAATATGACCAAATGATAGCATTCTACAGATAGAATTCTAAAAAAGGCAAGGGGCCATCTCGATCCCCACTTGGATGGACACAAGCATGTGGATGCGATAGCAGACACCCTCGGGACAGGGGAACGCATTGTAAAAGTAGTCCTTGGTGCGATCGTGCTTCCGAAACTTGAGGGCAACGGCGGGCCGAGTCCAGTAGATGATCAAGGTGGAGTGCTCGAAAGTGGAAAGGCATGCCCTTAGCCGCTTCTTGGTTTCAAGACTGAACTTGTCCTCCTCGCCATGGCACTGCCCTCCGTAGGCCACAAAGCGCTCCATCAAGTGCTCGTCAAGCTCGAAATCATTCGAAACCGATGGGCGAAGGCTACCGGCCTTGGCCTTTGCCCTAGGCTTCGAAACATTGCCAGTCTCCTTGGGCTCGGCGCTCTCCACAGCAGGCTTGGCACTGCTTTTGCCCTTGACCTTCAGAGCTGACTTGCGTTTCGCATCTGGCTTTGGAGCTGGGGCCTTTGAGCCCTCCTCGTCCTCTGCACACACCGCCTTCCGTGCAGCCTTGGCTTTGGCCTTCGGCGCTGACTTCGGGACAGGCTTGGCTTTCGATTTGGCCTTGCACTTCGGAGCTGACTTCGGAGCTGGGGCCGTTGGGTCCTCTGCCGTCGGCACCTTTTTCCCTGTAACCCGAACCCTGGGCTTCGGGGCTGCAGCCTCTGGCTCCTCCACGACCGGTTCCGGCGATGGGGAACCCTCGTCCTCGAAAGATCTTGATCGCTTAGAGTTCTTGCGCTTCATGACCAGGCGACGCTTGCTCACGCGCCTCTTAAGCGTCTTCTCTTTCGATCGCTCACCATGGGAATCATGACCATCAGCAGTCATCAGCATCAGCACCCTCGTCCTCAGCCGCCTTCTTGCGGCGATCCTTTCGCCGACGCTTGCCAGCATTCTGGTCGATCTTCAACAGGATCTCGTGGGTTTTGGCCACCTGTGCACACGAGGAAAACCAGAACTGCAGAGTCTTGCACTTATGTAAAATGTGTTGCACATGCCTTTGTTACACTATGCAGTCTGCCACTCGGAAACACGTGCATGTTCTCATCACATAGCATGATGCAAGTATAACATAGCGCCTCCTCCTCCGGTGTAAAAGCCTCCTTTTCACCCTTGGATGCAGACGAGGGTGTGGAAGGCGGATCGGATGGGGGCTGCTTCTTCCTGCGTTTGATGTCTGCAAGCTTCTTGGTGGCATCGCTACCACTCGGCAGGACTGGGTCCAGCAAGGAAGCATCAGGGGTGGGCACTGCCATGATGTCAACCGGCTGGGTCTCCAA